TTACCGCGTTTCGATGCAGATTCCACAGGCCAAGGGCCCCGACTATATACGCTCTACACAACACATACTCTCTCCAAAGGACCCAACAACCGACCCAACAAGAGGTAAGAAGAGTAGAAGAGGAGGAAAGAGAAGAGAGAAGAAGTACACACGGTGTGGAAGAGGAGGAACCAACGAAGGAACAGGCTAACCGAGCAAACGGCCGACAAACCAGGCTGCAAAGGGGAGAAGAGGGAGGGTGGTCGTCTCGCAACTGGTGTTAACTCCACGAGAGAGACCACGAAGAAGAAGAAGAAGAAGAAGAAGAAGACGACGACGACGACTACTACGAGTAGCACCACGCTGGACTGCCATTTTTTTCGACCCTTTTGCGGCGCACACCCGTTATGCAGATACGTGGCTGGCCTTTCGACGGTGTGTTCCTCGAATCGTGGCCTGGCTTCTGCCCACACGGACGAGTCGAGGGACACGCGCGCGCGGATCGTGCGAAATTATGCGGGATATTGTGCAAGCTGTGGGATATATGTGTACTAGGTGAAAAGTGGGTTTCGAGCGTAGGAAAGTCGCGTGGGAGAGTAATACGGACGAGTGTCGCGAAACGGGAGGGGAGGGAGGGGGAGAAAATCGCGTTTGTGTGGAGCGATCCGCGCGCGCGCGCGCGCCGCTTCAACGGGTTTCCGGTGGTCGCGCGGATGTGTGGGTATGAAGCGCGTGGATGGAAATTGTGTATTAAGTAGCACGAGTGGGTACGCGGAGTGTTTGTTACGTTTGCGAAGAGTAATTGGGTGATTGAGCTGGTTTTGATAGACAGTGAAAAGTATATTTATTAACTCACGTTCGCTTTGATGAGATGTTGTGATAATGTAATGGGATGCAAGTGTAGATTTCTTTTTTTCACCGTGTTAATGGGGGATGTAACGAGGGAGGTTCAAAATTGTATTGTTCCGACGATATAATTTTGTTGGTTGACAACATTTGTGGAGAAATAAGAAACGTTATACTTTCTTTTTGTTTCGAGTCGATGCTCCTAATTATAATTAATTCCCTTCGTTTTGTAATATTTCGATCCGTTTTTTCCTACTGTAGAAGATTATTGAAGAAATTTTTTAAATTTTATGGAACTCTCGAGAATATTAAAAAAATTTTATAACTTAATAATCTCTATATTAATTCTAAACGTTGTGACAAATCTACGCTATTTATCGGGCGATTTGAATTAATTAAAACAACCACTTACAGTTGAATATGACCAACTTCCTCAATATTACATGTAATATGCTCTCTTATAACTTTCACGAATTTTGACGTGTCACTTACGAAGCTGGATAAAAATAAATTCAATTCAAATATGAAATAATTTGACAATTATAATGCATAAAATTAACTGTGCATTAAATTATTCGAACCTCTAAATCAATTAAAAAATTTAATCAATTAATCTTCAATATGAAATAATTTTAATTTTATCCATGTTAATGCACAGTTTATTTTTAACTGCCTTCAAACTACTCCGTTAAAATAATCCTATAATTCAATTGCATCACGAAAAGGTTAATTCTTACCCACGAAAGACCATCGGTCTACAAGATTCCATCCAAAACAATACCACCCCCTCCTCCACGCACAACTTTAATTCCCCAACATTCTGTAAACCCCGCGTTTTTATTAAAACTTGCACACCGGTAGAACTTAACCCTTCTACCATTCAACCCTTTGGCACCGGAAAATAAACAAACCACCCCAATATATATATATATATACACACACACGTAAACAGCTAACGATATCTCTATACCACCTTCCCCAAACACACCGTCCAAGCAAATACTTAATTCCTGCCCGTTCTATTCGGCATTTAACGCGCGATTTCATTAAGCGAGATGGATCTCCGCCGTTGGAAAGGTTAATCCAACGTCTGCGGGCTTCCATATCGCGAGCAACGAGGGAAACAGAGGAAAACGCGGACGAGAGCAAGAAAGGAGGGTGAAAAGAGGGAAAAAGAGAGAATACCATGCATAAGAAAGAGAAGCCCTCTCTCTCTCTCTCTCCTTCTCTCGGTTTATGCCTGGGCGTACGTCGATTACGGTTTCACCTGGGCATCGGAGGGAAAGAGACGCGGTCGTGAGGAGAGGAGAAGAGTCAAAGAGACGGTGTCGCGTACGCTTCTTCCCGCTTCCCTCTGTGCAGCCGCGAGGTGGAGCGCACGCAGAAAGAGAAAAAGGCAGGAGGGAGGAGGAGGGGAGGGAGAGGGAGAGAGATGTTGGAAAAAAAGGGGGTGGGCGGCGGCTACGGCGAGCTTGACGCGACATGAAAAGCAGCACTCGCTTCGGCGTGTGGGGGTGGCAAGAAGAAGAGAAAAAGTCCCGTGGCGGTGAGCGAGACACGCGTTCGCCAAGTTTTTCCGCAAAACAACGGGGGAGGAACAACGGCGACGCGGGCATAATGCCGCCTCGTTAAAAAATAATTCATTTAACCACAATGCTTCGACGATGTGCGAAAAAAAAAAAAAAGCAAAGTTGCGCGCGAGCCTACAGCCAACACAGATACGATGAGATACGTAGATCCGCGCTTGACAAACACAAGGGTGTGTTTGTGGATGTTCGTCTGTCTCTCTTTGTTCCTATATTGCGCGAGAGCGAGAGGCCACCACCCCCTTTTCGTCTACTATACTCGTTCGCTTACAATAACGCGATGGCGATAGTAGAAAGTGTATAACAAGAGAGAGAAAGAAAGAGAGAGAATCCGTTGTAATTAACGCAATAAATAAGTATCGTGTATTGCGGAAACCGAGAGATGTTAGAATGAAATGGAAATCTCTTCTTTATCTTTGAACCTTCGTTTTGAACTGTATGGGATGAAGTATCGGTTTTTATTAGAAAGGATATTTTATTTCGATTTGTAAGTTCGATGGATTTGTTTGATGAATTGTAGAAAGTTTCCTTCGAAAGAGATCTTCGTTTGTGTCTGAAGTTTAGATTTTATTTATTTGGATAAATCCTTGTATTGAAAGTTATATAGTAATGAGGTAAAATTTAGTGTATATATATATTAGAAAATGTAATATAGTTATCGTGGAGTTAAATTAAATCTCTCTATAAATATCTAAATTAAATAAAAAATAAGAAACGATGACGTAGACGAGAGAGAACCTGGGAAGAAAGCGGTTGATAGTCGTGTCGTTTCAAAATGGAAACGCGTATGTTCTCTAGATTAACATGGTAATGCGATAATATCGGTTACTTTGGTAATATGGCGATATCGGATTTTATATCTAACTGACGTATCTGAATCAGCCATTCCCATTAATGGCTATGCTTGAAAGTTAGCGAGCGTAACGATGTACATGTTTAGTTCAAATTGTTGAGATTTCAGATAGCTGGTTATAGGAATAGCTAAATAAAAATGTAAACAAATAAATAGTCTCTGTAGAAACGCGAAGCAATTTCCTTCAATAGCGTGTTTATAATCTATTTGAATTTGTTTATAATTAATTGCATAATTTTTAAATCTTCAATATCATGTATATTAAATTTACGAATTAACTAAAAGATATGTAAATTATTGGAAAATGTGTTTTTAAAATTATATAATTTTTTGTTTTCTATCAATTTCCTTCTCTATCCTAATCCTAAAAAAAATTGAATCACATTTTCACGCATAATTAATAACAAAATCATATCTTTTAATTTCAACTTAGTATTACCAATATCTATACTAACCTATATTAATACTATCCTGAAGAAATTCCCCATTTCCACATATTCGATCGTAACGAATATATC